TCTTATCTCATTCCCCACTTTGTCTGTTGCAAACTTTTTCTTCACCCTTGACACCCTTCAGCCCCACCCATCATGTTTCACACTTGCAGTAGATGATCTAGTGTCTTACATAGCTGAGAAGATTTAGAATGAATTCCCCCAGTTTTCCTTTGCTCCTCTTTCCCAACTTAGTGTCACCTGCTTTCCTTTTTTTTCCCTTAGGAAAAATATATTTAATTTTTTCCAATTACATGTAAAAACAATTTTTAACCTTCACTTTTTTATAATTTCAAATTCTAAATTCTCTCTTCCCCTCCTCTCTCTCTCTCTCTCTCTCTCTCCCCCTGAATTGAGAAAGCAAGCCATTTGAGAAAGGTTAAATGTGTGTAGTCATGCAAAATGTATTTCCATGTTAGTTGTGCTGTGAAGAAAACAGACAAAAGAAGACCAAGAAAAATAAAGTAAAAAATAAAAACGCAATATGCTTTGGTCTACATTCAGACTTTATCAGTTCTTTTTCTAGGGATGGATAGCATTTTTCTGGACCATAAGTCCTTCAGAATTGTCTTGGATCTTCGTATTGCTAAGAATAGTTAAGTCATTCACAGTTGATCATTGTACAATATTGCTGTTACTGTGTACGGTGTTCTCCTAGTTCTGTTTACTTCACTTTGTATTAGTTCATGTAAATCTTTCCAGGTTTTTCTGAAAGCATTCTGCTCATCAGTACAATAGAATTCCATCATAATCACATACCAGAACTTGTACAGCCATTCCTCAATTGCTGGTCATCTCCTCAATTCCCAACTCTTTGCCACCACAAAAAGGGCTTCTATAAATATCCTTGTACATATAGGTTGTTTTTAAAAAAAAATATCTTTTGGGATACAGACCTAGGAGTGGTATTGCTAGGTCAAAGAGTATGCACAGTTTTATAGCCCTTTGGGCATAGTTGCAAATTGTTCTCCAGAATGGTTGGATCACCCTCTCTCTTTCCTGTGGTCATAGAAGTAGAGAGACCCCTACTCCTTGCTCATGCTAATCCATCTACCTGCATCCTTTATCTGATTTCCAGGAATCTGCACTGGCAGTCATCCCTTTTTTCTCTCTCACATCTTCACATCTCTTAATCTGGCTCTTTCTCATGTGTCAAAAAAACCAGGCAGGCTTTCTGAGCCCTCAGAAATCCTTCCCTTGACTCTTCTACCATGTCTTCATACTGTTCTACACCTCTATTCTCCTTCAGTACTGTTCTTATTGAAAAAGTTTTACCAACCTGAAGTGTCTGCTTACTCATCCTCTCCTCAGCTCCTTATAAACTGGCTTTTATCCCTCTCTATTGAATCTGCTTTCACAGGTCACCAAACTCCTATTTGTCAGAACTTTATGGCCTTTTCTTAGTCTTCTTTTGCTTTTAGGTCTTTGTGGTTTTAATGTAGTCAGCCACTCCCTCCCCTTGGATACTTTCTTTTCCCCTGGTTTCTGAGACACCACACACACTTGCCTGGTTTCTTCTTTTAACTTCACCTTTTCATTCTCCATTGTTGGCTTCTCATCCTCCTCCTGATCCCTTAATATGAATGTTTCTTAAGGGTGTGTCCTGGCCCTTTTTTTTCTCTCCTTTAGGGTTTCATTCAATTCCATAGCTTCAGTTACCAGCTCTGTCTGTCAAGAGGATTCTGAAATCTCTGTCTCTTAAGTCACACCTTCCTGTGCTCCAGATCCGCATCTTCAACTGTCTACAAAGACATCTCCATTGACGCCTCAAACTGAACATATCCAAAATTAAGCTGATTATTTTCTCTCCCAAACTTCTTTTCCCCTTTGACCTCACTCTTTTTGTCTGTTATAGATCTTTACTTGGCCTCCCAAGTTTGTAACCTTGGTGTTTACTTGGATCTTTCCCTCTCCCTCATCTTATATCTTATCACTTACTAAGTCTGTTGATTCCAGCATCTCTGGCATCCATTTTATCTTCTCTGTTGCCACTGCCACAGCTCTATATAGATTTTCATCTGTTAGAGTAGATAATCACCAAATAGATGATTATCACCTATTTGGACTTAACTACCATTGCCTCCTAACACCTTTTTGCATCTACTCTCTCCCCTCTAATCCATCTTTTGCTGTACTGCTGGAATAATCTTTTATGCATAGTTATTGTCCTGTCACTGCTCAAAAAGTATGAACTACTGGCACCCTCTCAGCTCCTGAGTTTTAGCTTTTCTTTGCTTGACATTCAAGGTCTTCCAGAACCTGAAGCCAACTCTCCCTCTCTAGATTTATCAAATGAATGTCCCTGAGCGGCAGCCAAGTTGGTCCCTTCTCTGTCTCCCAAACTTGTCCTGCACTTTCTTTCTGGGTCTTTGCTAACACTGTTCCTTGTGCCTGGCTGGAATGCCCTCATGCCTTCCCTCATCAGCTGCTCCCTCTAGGAAGCCTTCACTGATCCCGTGGCCTATAACAAATTTCCTTCCTCTTGAACTTCACAGAGCAATTTGCTGTGCAAATGTCATTCTCTCGAGAGATACTTTAATTCAGTAAGAAGCGGGACTGTGGCTTACCTAAACATTGTAATTGTATTTTCCTGGCACCTAGCTTAGGACCTGTGAGCCTGATCATTGAGGCTGATGCTTATTGAATGTCAAATGACAATGCTCTGATTGTCTAGCTCCACTAGCATTTCTATAGTTCTCCTATGTTTGTGAAGTGTTGTGCAAATAGGATTTCATTTGATCCTCACAAATGCCCCTGGGGGGAGGTGCCATTATTATCCCCATTTTATAGATGAGGAAACTGAAGTTGATAGGAAGGAGGTTAACTAACCTGCGGTGTGTGTTAACCAATATACAGTAAGTGTCCAAGACAGGATTAGAAGTCGGCCTGACTCCCAAGTCTAGAATCCTGTCCACTGTGCCACTCAGAGCCCAATACATGGGTCACCCCCCAGGTTAACAGCAGTCAAGACATTCTTTAATTCTGCCACTCCAGATCCTCCACTATGAGCTGCTGGCCATCCGTGATGCCTGCATCAAGCTGGAGAAGGACTATCAGCCAGGGATCACCTATATTGTGGTCCAGAAGCGCCACCACACTCGCCTTTTCTGTGCTGACAAGAATGAAAGAGTAAGATGCACATAGCCCCTGGCCCAGTTTTTTTTCCTTCCCCTGTGTGGCACAAAACTGTTTGCCTGCTTGCCTGATGAAAAGTTTGCTTTCTATCACATGGAGAGATGTTTGAGAACATAAAGGAGGGCCTCCTCTGGGCATAGTATAGGAGTGAAATCCTGTGATAATTCAGCTGTAGAAATAAAAATCAGACATTTTCTTAGCCCTCTGTCCCTCCCCAGACACCATCCTCCTGGTGTCCAGCCTTTGCCCTTCAAGGCTCTATGTGTTAACTTTCCAGGCTTGGCCCTAAGTTACAAAGGACCAAGAGCTCTCAACAGGACTGCAGGACCATATAGGATTCAGCTGAGACAGGTGAGGGACCAGACTCAGTTTCCAAGATCTTACTTGTGTTTTTCCTCCTTGCAGATTGGGAAGAGTGGAAATATCCCAGCGGGTACTACCGTGGACACCAACATCACTCATCCATTTGAATTTGACTTCTACCTGTGCAGCCATGCAGGCATCCAGGTAATTAGGTTGATCCCTGGGGACTTCAGGCTCTTGGTGGTGGTAGTGGTCTGAGGGGATCATGATGATGATGATGATGGGGTGAGCTAAGAATGGATTAAAACCCTACTAAGTTCATTGATTAGCATTCATTTGTGTGACTCTCCTATTTTAGATTTGTAGACAACTCAGTTTTAATCCTATACCACTAATTACAAGTTTAATATGAGATTTGAATATAGTGAGGTTAACATGTGACAGTTTCTTAGAAGTGGTGGATTTCACTCCCTGGGCAGGCTTGTTTATAACTTGTGTGTGTGCCAGCCCTGAGGGAGGGGGATGTGCTGGATGTTCCTTCTTAGAAGCCTTTTTGGATTGCCCTTCTCTGATTCCCTGTGCCCCCTCCCAGGGGCCCTGTGGTGAAAACATTCCTCCTCCCTCCGTCATCTCCATAGGGCACAAGCCGACCATCCCATTACTATGTCCTTTGGGATGACAACCGATTCACAGCAGATGAGCTGCAGATCCTGACCTACCAGCTGTGTCACACTTATGTGCGCTGTACACGCTCCGTCTCCATCCCAGCACCTGCCTACTATGCTCGCCTCGTGGCTTTCCGGGCACGGTATCACCTGGTGGACAAAGAGCATGACAGGTGAGGCCCATGGATGGAAAGGAGTGCTGACTTAGTGACGGAGGAAGGGACAGCTTTGGGAACTTGGCAGAGTGTTCTTTGAAGGATGGCCAGTAGGATGGATGAGAGAGTCTCAGCAAAGGGAGAGGGCTACTTAAGTTTGCACATTAGCAGAGCTGGAAGGGACCTTCTAGTCTAACCATTAACTCCTTTTGAATAGGAAACAGACCCAGAAAGAGGGATTGACTTGCCTAAGTCAGACAGAAAGTAACACTGGGCCTAGAACCTAGGTTCTCTGTTGTCCCAGGCCAGCAGTGTTCTATTCATTTTGTGAGGCTGGGCCCTTGCTCCCCACTCCCAGGGAGAGGACTAACCCTGTACGACTTTGTGCCCATAACTCCTCTGCCTGGGCCATAGGGAATGAAGAGGAAGGGAGGCCATAGGGCAGAAGAGAACAACATTACTAGCATGTCCAGTAGCCATCTGAGGGGGTGCTTATGTCTCCCTTTTTCTAGCGGCGAGGGGAGCCACATATCAGGACAGAGCAATGGGCGGGATCCCCAGGCCCTGGCCAAGGCTGTGCAGGTTCACCAGGACACTTTGCGCACCATGTACTTTGCTTGAAAGGCAGAACGCTGTTACCTCACTGGAAAGAAGAAAGCTTTCAGAGCCCAAGGAGCCATACAGATGGAAGGAATCCCAGGAAGAGGAATCCAGGGGAGTGGGAGGGGGATGGGGGCAGGCTGGGGGGAGGGGGGAGGGGGGAAAGGAGAGCTTGTTTCCCCACTGCAGAGCAGAAGCTGCATCACTAGGGGGTGGGGGGATGGGGGCAGGGCTGGCAAAGAGGGACCACCAACCAGAGGCCCCTGACTCTTCCCTTGCTCTGCCACATCTGACCTGACCCCAGTGGACCAAGAGAGAGGCAGCATCGTCGCTCACAGGTGCCCATTTTAAAATGCAATACTAAAGACTTGTGACTGGGAGGGCTCCATAAGGTCGGCTCTACAGCTGCGGCTCGAGGGACAGAAGCTGGTAGGTTTGGGTTCACTTCTTTTAGAGGGAAAAGTGTTGGCTTGGAAAAGAGGGGGGGAGGAGGAGGAGGGAAGGATTTTTAGGAGCCTTAATCAAAAAGGTATAGATTCATTTAAGAAGAAAAAAAAATTCCAAACCAATATTTTAGGGTAGTAGAGGTTTTAATGGGTTTGAAATCCAGTTTGTAGGGAAATTCTACCACCAGTAGTTTTGGTTACTCTTCCCCCTAGCTATCACCCTTCCCCTCTGCGGCACACCTTCTCCTGTGGCACCTTCCTCCCTCCCCCTTCCCATAAGATGTAAGGCACTATGGCACTTAGTCCGAATTGACACAGCCCTGTCTTCCTTCTGCCCCACTGGTGGGTGACCAGTGCCTTCACTGTAATGCTGCAGAACTGCAACCTTTTTGTACCTTTTTTTTGTGTGTGGGAGGGGGAGAAGGGGGATATGGGAAGCAGGGGAGAAACACCCCAAGCCTCACAGGCCTCCCGTAGGTGATGCTGCCAGCTGTCTGCATCGGAAGGAGTTGACTATGACATTCACAGAGTGAACCCATTGTTTTGAGATCATAACCTCAAGATGGTTAAAATCCATTGAAGACATTTGCACTTTCAAACATGACAAGTTTCTTAGCTGCTGAAATAACTGACCCTTGCCCTCCCCCCACTCCCACCCCTCTGTCCCCAGGTTCCCAGAGCGTTATTTCAATGGCATCCTTTCCTCCATGACAGTTGAGTCTCCCATGTTTCAACATTTCTTTGCTGGGCTATCTTAGAACAAAAGATACTTAGGTCTAAAAGAAGAAAAAAAGAGAAAACTAAATGTTATTTTTATACAGTATCTTGAGTCTGTTGCCAAAACTTGCAGGTGACTCTCATGTCCTCTGAGTTTACATCCCAGACACACTGAGCCGTCCGTCTGTCCGTAGAAGGGTCATGCACCTGGGTCACTGTTCTGCCCAGTAGGCAGGGGTTGGGGTTGGAGCCCTGTTGTTTCTTGGTTCCTTCCCCTACTCTGTGCATTATCCACTGTTCCCTTGTGCCCCCTCCCCAGAGGATCCTTTTGTCTCCTCTATTCTCAGTTGGAGCTCAGGCTCTCCGACTCCAGCATGGCCTGCAACACACTTTTTGATAGCTTCTGCTGCTTGCTTTCACTGCTGTTTACACAAGATACTTTTAGTTCTGTGTGCAAGGGGCAGATGGGGAAGTGTATGCATGTGTGCATATAGTCTTCCCTCTTTCTGCAGTCAGTGAAGGGGTCTGGCTGGGGTAGGGTCAGAGGGCTATAGTTGATCTGTCACTTTGGGGAGAACATGGGCACCAGATTGTCCAAGGCCTCTTTAGGCTGCTAGGTGCCCAAGGTGTCAGTGGTTAGGCCCCTTCCTCTGGCATGGGTAAGCATAGGAACTGCTTATGTATTTTTGCCTATCTGGTGAGGACAAGGAACCTCAGCTCATTGTGGGAATTCCTCTGTGCGCTTTAAGGGATTAGATACTAGGCAGCCTAGTCTGTCATCTCTTCTACTGGGTTTTAGTTTGGTTGTTTTGCAACCACTGACCTTGAGGGCCACACCCTTAGATGAAGCTCTTGTGGAAAGCCTTGGCCCTCAGGCCTAGTAGCTGGTAAAGCAGACACAGGCCTGGAGGCTGGCTTGAAACCAAGTCTCTGTCCATGTCTGCTCAGGGAAAGGTGGGCAGGTGTTGGAACTGGCTCTTCCCCTTTTCCAGCAGAAGAGTTGCCAGACCATGATTTGCTATGCAAAATAATCTACCCCAGTCTCTATTTTTGTTGACCATGTTGTTCAAAGATATCAGCAAAACTTAGCACAAACAATAGTTGTGGAATAGGGCATTGGGACAGTTTGGTAATTCCTTCCATTCCTTCCTTCCCTTCCTTCCTAGCCGGTAGTATCGTCTACCCTGCCGTCCATGGGCTGGATGGCTGGGAAAGCCAGTGGCTCTCCCCCAGCTGTGGGTGGCAGGTGGGAAGGGGCTCTGGGAGGGGGTGAGCTCACCTAGGAGCCTACATTCCTTACACAAGTGCCTATATCGTGATGTCAACACTCTGCCCGCCTCTGTCCATCTCCATATCCTTGCCTCTAGTTTGTGTCCATTCATACCTCTGGGTGGGGCTCCAGTCTTTTGAAGCTCCCCCAGGACCAGTGGCTTTGCATGTTTTCTCCGCATGTGTCTTGGGGTTGGGGTTCAGGGCAGTTTTCCTGGGAGGGTACAATCATTCACCAGCATTTATCCATGCCCGTAGTGGGTGGCAGCCACCGGGCCCGATTTGTGTTCCTCCTTTTCTCTCTCTGCCTCCCTCCTGTTGAGTTTTGAGCTGGGGTCTGAATTGCTTTTTTAGACATGTTGGCATTACATATGCCATTTGTAAAATAAATAAATGAAAGTGCGAGGAGCAGCTTGGGCATTGGTAAAAAAACAAACAAACAAAAAAAACAACAAACAAAAACAGAATAGCTTTGTTGCTCTTGTGATTTTTTTTTTTTTAGCCTTTGAGACTTGAAATATAAACTTGACCTTAGAATTTGCACTTGTGTGTGAGGTGCCGTGTGCAGGATGAGAAGGTGGTCCTGGAAGTGAGCTCTCAGCTCTGTGGGCTTTCTTGTCCAGGTGTTGGGGGCACCCAGAGTGCCCCAGCCAGTCTCTTTAACTGTCTGTTGCTTCCCCCTACCTTTCTCAGTACCCCCATTCTGCTTCTATGCCTTTTTGAGATCAAGCCTCTGCAGAGCCCCAGTGTCAATAGTTATGCCTATTGTGAAGCCATTGCTTCTTTGCTTCTGAGCACCTGGAATTCCATTTTTTCTATAGGTGTGACTCATAGTGTAGTGCCCACCTGGCATCTGGTGCTGCATGAGTGTCCATGTGAGCCTCTTGCTATGTCTCTATCCCAAGGCCTCAGCTGATGCAGAATCAACAGGCATGCCAAGCTGGGGTGACAACAGGAGGCATTGCTTCTCCTTAGGCCCATCCCCAACCACCACAAGGTGCTATTCCTGCTGTAATACTGAGCACCCTGTATGCTTCTGGTCCTGGTTACCCCAGTAGCTGCCTCTCTTTCTGGGCCACATCTCTGAGTAGCCTCTTCTAAGGAGGCCTGGAATTCAATGCCTTAGGTGGCCAAATATTTTAGACTGGGTGGGCAAGGGGAGCAAAGAGAACAAATTCTTGCCTTTTGTTCCTTCATGGGTGCATGGGATCAGACTGGATGAAAGATCCATCCCTTCTACTGTTTTGACTAGAGTGTTGAGGTGTCAAGCCAGTGGCTAAACAGAGAAAGGGGGAGGGATTACTCCTGAACACTGCAAAGGCTGCCCAGGTTGGATTGAGTTGATTCTTGTTTGACCTGCCAGTTGGGCATTCCCTTCTACCTAGGATCAATGCCACAGGACCCTTGGGGTCCAGAGAAGCAATGTTGGTGGTGGGGATGAGACCCCCAGGCAGGATGGGCAACTTGGGAAATACTTTTTCTCTTTGCCTGGGCCAATAGTTATGTGCAAAGCTGTTGGAGGCTTTTTCTGGAGCTGGGACCTGGCAGGGAGGGCCATTTGGCAATAGGATGTGGGGAGAGCTACCTCTGTGTAGCAAAAAAGGGGGCTTTGGAAATAGCATCCCAGGGTAGTTGTGTTTTATTTATTAATCTGGTATCAGTGCCAGGATAAGTACTGGGTTACCCTCTTCTCCCAAAAGCTTGGACATCAAGTGGATGTGCCAAGTCCGTGGAGGCCACCCAAGGCATTCTGTAGCCTCTCGGCTCTGTCTGGCCCTCTGCAGCTGGGGAGGTGCTCTTATCTTTTAATCTCTTCAATTTTTAAGGACTCGCCTTCTCCCTGGGCTGATGCAGGACCCAAAATGGTATTCTACAGCCATTCCATTCTCTTCAGACTCTGAGCTTCAGGCTGCTGCAGAGGGAGAGGGAGGTTGGGGACACCTTACTGGAGCAGCCAAGGCTCCAGTGGAGAAGCACTAAGAAGGGCAGGGGCATCTCCCTTTTGAAAATGAATCTTCAAAACTTTGTGCAAATAAAGAGAATCTGTTGAGTCTAATGACAGTCCAATGGCTGAACAGCAATAAGAAAACGCTGGAGGACATTATTTTGTGTACGTGGTATTGTTGCACTTAGCGGAGGTATGGTGGACAGAGGGTTCAGAGCACTCCTGGGGTTTAGTTTCAGTTCAGTTTCTAAACTTTCACACCTCCCTGAGCCCAGTGAGGGTGGAGCTGTCCTTGGGGCCCCACACCCAGAGTCCTTGTTTGCTTTTGGTTTTCTCTTTGACCTGTGTTAGTGTCCTGCTTCTGACTGTATGCTGGATGGTCCATTTGTGAAACTGCCCAAGCGGTTGTAACGGACATTTATTTCTGAAACAAGCAGCCGCATGATATTGTGTTTTATAAAGATAACAATGGCTTATGTTTTAAAAGTGCAGCATCATTTTTCTTCTTTTTTTGTCCGTGGGGGGAGTGGGGTTGGTGGTGAGGGAGGGGCATAAATCTGAACAAAGCTGCCAAGAGCAATTACATTGATTTTAGGCCAAAACAATAAAGAGAATACTACAAGAGTAGAACGCCATTGCTTTTTAAGGGGAAAAAAGGATTAAGAATTAAACAACCTCCAGATCATTGTAGCTACATGTGGCTTCCTTGCTTATGACAGGTGACTTCTTGGGCCCTGGTGCTTATGTCTTTGCTCCCAAGGGTGAGGGGCTGTCTTTCCCCAGGGAGGCTCTGAGGGTCTTTATTTTGAGGTAGGTCAAGGGTTGGAGAAGCATTTCATCGGTTTCTGCCTTTTCTCAAAGAGGAAGACAGCTGCAGCTCTATACAAACAAAGGAACCCACAAAGGAACCTTTACTTGTCGCCAGAGGCCCTAGGTCTCTGTCCCACTTTATCTTATTGAAATAATCTCCTGGAGGGCTAGAGGCTGGTATTTCATATTAATAGCCAATCCACTGAGGACACTTCAGAATTCATTCGATGGTACTTCTGCCATAGGATGAGTATGAAGGCCTTCCAAAACTTCTAGGGCCCTGGAAGTAGATCCTGATTCTGTCATTATCTTAGGGCCCTAATCAGCAGCCTCACTACTGTACTGACTTCTGTCCAGACTAAGGCAACCACAGGCCTTGTCTTCAATTCAGTAAACATTTATTAAGTACTTACTTTGTGCAAAGGTCAGGTGCCATAAAGGGGGAATGACAGCTAGAGGTTATTTCATATACTTAGTTTAGTGTCAGAATACCTGGGTTTAAGATCTGACTTTGCAGCCTAAGTTCATTCATCTGTAAAAGTGGGAATAGTAGTATTCCCACTACCTACTTCCCAGGGCTCTGATGTGAGGATCAGATGAGATCATGTATGTGAAAACACTTTGTAACTGTAAGAAGCTACATAAAAGCAAGCTATTATTAGGATAGAATATGTCATAAGGGTAGCACAATACTTTAGAAAAAGCCTCGAAGGGCAGATATCATTGAAACTAGGTCTTAATGGGTAGAATTTCAACCATTAGAGAACTTGGGGGGTTCGAGCTGTGTGTGAGATCATTCAAGGTAGAAGCACTTCATATCTAAGTAAGAGCCTGCTACTCCAATCAAAGAAGGCATGGAGACAGACTATTGTATATACATTGAATCAGAACAGAGATACATCTGTTGGCCTGGCTCACTGGCTGAGCCTAATATTCCTGGGGCTCTGCAGAGTGCTTCCCTGGGATGAGCTAGCCCTAGATCCCACTTGGATCCTCAGAGTGGTCTTTTACAAGTGGACAAGGCTATATCATCCTGAGCCACACCTGGGCTCATCCTCAGCATTGGAGACTTGCCTGTGCCGAGGAAGGTTTCAAACAATTTGACACTAGCTTACTGTTGCTGACCTTTTCTCCTAATACCTGGGAATTAGATTGTGTCTTTTCCTATTTTTTTCCTCATTCCACCTCCTCCCTTGGGGGCAAGTGTCTATATAGCTTGGAAGAGCATAGGAATGCCTCTCAGGCCTTCCCTATATGTTCTTTCATTTAGAATGTCAGAACCACCTCTAAATAAGGCCAAGGCCTACATTTCCAAAGTGTTTTCTTAGCCTCTTGCCACCCCTTACAGCCCCCCATTCCCCCCAGAGATACTTCAGAGGTAGAAGTAAAAAAAAACAGCTTTCCTTTCTACTTTCTGGGCTTCTTTATGGAGGGACTAGGGCAGGGCCTGCTGGGGCAGCTGCAGCTTAGTTTGGGAGAGGCTTTGGTCCTATTGGTGGAGTAGAAAATGCACTGGAATCAGAAGACCTGGGTTTCAGATCCATCCTTAGCACTTCCTGGGTAGGCAAGGGCTTAACCTTTCTGAGCCTCAGTTTCTTCCCCTGTAAAGTGGAGATATTGCTACTTGCACTACCTACCTCCCAGGGCTGTTGTGAGGAAAGCACTCAAAAATGTGAGTGATTATTATGTGATAGCACCACTTTCTTTCCTAAGGTAAAACCACTTCCTTATCAGGTAAGGATAGACCGCCAGCATCCTTTATCATTTCCTTTCCCCAAATAAAATAAATAAAAATAGTCCAATAGTTGAGTAGGTCACATGGCTACTGTAAATTGTTCACTAAATAGTGCTTAACTCTATAAAGTCTTACTGAACATCATTCTCTTCCAGGAAAGCCAGTATCTGACCCCCTCTGGCTGAGCTGACTGGCCTGGCCCTTGGCACAGTGCAGTGGTCATCTCAGTGAGATAGCTGAAGGAGGATATGAGGAATTAGAGCCTCCAGATTGGGAGGGGAGGGATCGCATGCCCAGGCCCAGCCTTCCAGTAAGGGTTAGGTGTTGGGATTTTTCCAGATGTCTTGAACACAAGTGCTGCAACTGCTTATGGCCACATACCTGGCCATATTCCACTGGAAAAAAAAAACCACCTTTTAGTATTAACAGCCAAATTCTAGTTTCTTTTTGGTGAGGAAGGAGGGGTGGATGAGGGGTGGCTGGCTGTGGTTGAAACTGTAGAGCAAGTTGGAACCTGGAATGAATTTTTTCCAACTGAAATGGAAACCTGAAAAATAAGTTGTAATCCACATACTAGCAGCAGACTTATTCTGCTATCCCAAGGGACACAAAGTGTCTAGGTGAGGAATGGGGAGATGACCTGGATGATTTGTTGCTATATTTGGACTTAGAAGCAACTGAAGTTGTATGAGCCTCTGCATTAGGCAGTTGGCTGCTCCCCTGAGAACAGACATCTTGGTAGTGCAGGGAGCTGGGGCTGGCCAAGCATGTATTCAGTTCCAGGCCAAGACTGTATTCCACCTGGGCCCAAAGCCAAAGATCCAGGGCTCAGGCTTGTCTCAGCCACTCCATGTTCTTTCTCTGCATAGGTTGTGCTGCCTCTCTGCCCATCCTGGGCTGGGGACATGTATCCAGCATTCCTGTGAACATATTATCCTGTCTCCCATATCTTTGCAGGTGTGTGGGGGGACAGAGGGGGAGGGGATTCCAGCAGTTCCCAATGAAATGGTGATGGAAGCCAGTGCAGAGGCAAAGTTGAGGATGAAATGGGGTCCCTGTGGGGCTATAGGGCCAGCACATTAGAAAGCATGTCCAAGAAGTTGATGGCATTTAGGTAAGTTATGATGGGAGGAGATGTAGCTACGGAACCAGAAGAACCTAGGTTTCTTGCTCTTAGATCAGGCCAACCCTAGCACAGACACTAATCTGATTATGGGGAGTGGTACAGCAACTTTACCACTCCCTTCTCTTGGCTGCCCTAGCAACAAACCTGGCATATATATGTTTCCCTGAGCTGAGAAGGGATGATTGGTATGGAGGGTGGGCCAAGCCTAGCTAGAGCCCTCCTTCAAAGCTGCCACTTCTGGAAGAAGAGGTTGGAAAAAATCGAGGCTTGCTGGGTCTGACTGAAGAGCCCTTTGGTTAACACACTACAACTGCCTTGTCTGAGGCCTGCAGCCAAGCCAAGGCACTGCTTCCCCTCTCCGCCCTAGCCCCTCCTTTTCCTTGGATGTTCCCTTTCCACAGTCTGCTGTGGTTTACACTGAAGGAACATTATGTCCTGCTCTCCCTAGTATGCTTACCCTGCCAGCAGTGCTACAGAGGAACGAGGTATGGAGCAGAAGGGAACAGCAGCCCCTGGGGTCCACCTTGGCTTCCTGATCAGCCCCTCTCCTCCCAGCAGAAATATCCCATATTTTATGTCAGAGATATAGGATTAGGGTAGAGGACCCCAGCCAGATCTTGGAGAAATGCTGTTGGAAGTTTTGTGGTTTTTTTTTAACCTGCTACAGGAAAGAATCTTAGGAATTCTCTCCTGTATCTCCAGGTCCTAGTATGGTGAGTAGCACGTATTAGGTGCTTAATAAATGCTTTTTCATTCTTTCAAGGCAAGCATCATCAGTTGGACCCAGGGGAAGAGGAATGAGTCTACTCCAGATCCAGTCCCAGCCCCCATATAGTGGTTGAAAGATCCCATGTTCAGTCATCTCAGGGCCAGAGCTTGACTCTTGGGGGATTGGAGTGGGGGGTGTGTGTGCTGTATGTGTGTGATGAGAAGACACTTTTGATATGTGTCTATATAAAACTGATAGCTGCAGCTATCTGGTTATCCTCTCCTCATCTCTCCTGGGCACAATGAGCATCTTGTTAGAAGCTGAGATGGTTTAGTTTTCATAGGGCACTCAGCCTACTCCCTATTCTACTATGACTTCTGTTCTATTTTCTGTAGTGTTTCTCTTGGGTTAACATGCCAATGGGAAGGAGGAAAGAGCTGTTATAAGCAGGTGGCTGCTGCTGACTGGCTGGGAATAAGGCTGGGCTGATGTAGCTTATTTCTTCAGTCACAATCACAAAGTTGGAAGGAATTTCAGAGTTTAATCCATACCTGATTGTGGGTTACTTCTTACAGTGTCCCCATCAAATGGTTATCCAGGTTTTACTTAAAGCTCTCAAGAGAGGAAGAACCTATTACCCAACCTGAGTTATTGCACTTCAGTTGTGGATAGATCTTATTGTTGGGAAATTTTTCCTTATGTCCAAGTCAAAATCTGCCTCCACAAATTAGTTCTAGTTCTGTCTCCTGGTACCAAGCAAAAGAAAATTAATTTTTTTTCCACCTGCCCTCCCCTCTAAGTTTCTTCCCAGTAGTTTAGCAGCCCTCCCCAGTCTCAAAGTTTAGGTGATGAGGAAGCAGATACTTGTGTTTTTAAGACAGTTTAGAAGGAGATTGACCAAATAGCCACCTCCAGCTTTGCTTTTCATTAAAAAAAATAATTAATGCCTTCAAAAAATACCAATTCCTTTCCACTTCCTCATTTCTATGACAGAGAACTAAACATCTCAGAAAATCAGTTAGTAATTCAATTTCAAGAAGTCCTTGAAGTCTATTCTCTATCTGAAGTGTGGGTCCCTCTACTTGCTTGGATACTTCAATATTATTAGAATGTAAGCTCATTGAGGCCAGGGACTACTTTTCTTTTTGTTGTTGTAACTCCAGGACTTAGCTCATAGTAGGTACAAAATAAATGATTGTTGGATTAGATACTAAAGAAAATTCATTATTTCATTGCTATGGGCTTTCTACCTATGCATAATTTAATTCCTCCATCTTAGTGGTCTGTTTCATGAACTGTGGTTATCAACAAATTCATCACCTGATGGTCAACCCTACAGTGAATAAATGATGAACTTCAACTTTAGCTAGACTGGTTCCTGTATGACAAACAAGTGTCACTAGGCCTGTCCTTGAAACTTTTCTAGCTTGGCAGAACCTCCCAAGAGCTTGTGTCCTGCTGGTGGAGCCTTTGAAAACTCAGGGGCACCTTCATGCTACAATGAGGCATCAAAGGTCTTCCTGCTCTGTTTTGAAGACCTCACTGATGGTGACCTGCCAAAGAAGTCCATTTCTTTTTTTGAATAGCTCCAGTTGTTAGCTATAGTACTTCCTTTAACTTGAGCTGACTACTGCCTCCCCGTAACTTTCACTTCAGTCCAGATAGAATAATCCTTCTTTCTCATGACCTTCAGGAATTTGAAGACAGTGATCTTCAGCCTAAACACCAAATGGTGTTGGTGCCACAATCCTTTAGTCTAAAGAGTCTGAATTAAATACGTAATCTGTTTGACAGAAACACCCTATGCCTGGAATCCAGGGTTCCAGTTCTAGGACCCAGCTGGTATCCAGTAGTCACAACCACTTTCCCTTTTACTAAGAGTCAGAGGCATGACTAAGAGAATGGGGAATCATTTAGGGAAAGATATTCAAAGCCATCAACAGTGTACCATAGTGGGAGTCTAACAACCGGGAAAAGGTGACTAAAGACAGTTTGGAGATAGTCTTCACTCTGTGGTAGAATTCCAGTCGGTTGCAGGTGCTTCATTTTCCAGCTCATTTTCCAGAAGACCAGCTTGGCCAAGGGAGGAGTGTGTTTTTGAAACTCCCTCAGCTACTTATTGCTCAATCCAAGATTTTTACTTAAAAATTGAAAATTGGTATGTAGGGATGAGATGGAGAGCCAGTGATGCTGGGGTAAAAAGCCGGTAAGGATTTGTTGTCAAGAGTCCATCCTTAAACTTCTCTTCATTCCAAGAATGGGTTTTAAGGCGGCAGTTCTCCTTGGAAATGCTTTTTTCCCCTTCCCCTTTTTTAGGAACTTTTGAGGGGGCTGCTGCTGTATCCCTTCCTCCTAATCCTAGGCAACTGAGAGGATCAGAAGAGTTGATGGTGCTGTGGGAAGGGGGCCTTGGTTTTCCCATTTGTAAAATGACTCGATGATTCCTAAGGTCCCTTTTAGCGTTGACATCAATGCAACAAGCATTTATTATGGGCCTACTACGTACCAGGCGCTGGGGATTCATGGAAGAAAAGAAAAGCCTCTTGTACTCAAATAGCTTGCGTACAATTACTGAATGCATATGATGACCAGGGCCTGAGAAGGTCTAGGAATCCGCACCGTGCCTAGCACATAATAAGCGCTTAATAACGCTCGTTGACTGATCACCCGTATGGGGGCGGGGCTGATGTCTTTCTCCGCCTAGAGATGACTGAGAGTAGAAACTGTCATGGCGGCCCTGTTGGGAAGTCTGGTTAGGCAACGTCCTGGGCAGTTCAGCCAGCGCGCGGGCGGTAGGCGGGCGACCGTTAAACGGCCAGTCAGTAGCAGTTGGTGGAATGTTCATGCTACTCAACACCGAAGTGTAACCGTAAAAACAGTCGGGGTGGGGGGGAGGTCAGAATGTCCAATCAGAGAAGCGGAAAAGGTGACAGACCTGGCCACCAGCCAATCCTGAAGCCGTCTTGGTGGTGGTGGGGGTGCTGTCTGAAAAAGCTGTGTCTCCCCGCCTCATAAGTCAGCGTGGAGCAATAGGAGGCACTTGGAGAGTTCGGCTCCTTAAGAAGGCCACGCCCCCAGAACTTTCTTTTTCGTGATTGGCCCCAACGCCGGCATACCTGGGGCCTCTGGGACATGCCCCAAGCCGTCAGGTCTCTTCAGGCTCGGAGGCGAGGACACACTGCCACCCTCGCGTGTGTCCTTCTATTATCATCTGCTCCGCCCCTACCCACACACCCATTCCCCACTCCCTTCACTTCCATCCCCGCCCTCCTCGGGCACGAGGAGATCTGGCTTTCTCAGAGCTTCGTGTCCGCCTCCTTTCCCCCCTCTCAGTCGCGGCGCTTTAGAGTGCGCGCCGGAATAAAGTATTCATTCAGGGTAAAGGGCGGCTAGGCAACGGAGGCAGCGAGCTAGAACTGGCTGCGGAAGTGACGTCGAAGGGCTTCCGGGGGGGGCGCCGGCGGGGAAGTCGGCGGCAGTGGCGGTTGAGCGAGTCAGAGCGCCAGCGGCTGCAGGCGACGGTGGTTTGGAACCGCGTCTCGCTGCCCTCCCGTCCCCTCTTCCTCACAGCTGTGCTCTTGTCTGTGCGGCCGGCGCGCCTGCCTTTCCTCCGCGGCCGTCCCCGCCCCGCGTTGTCGGAGCGGCGGAGCTGAGGAGTGCAGAGCCCGGCAGGCAGTTTGCCAGCTTGGGGAAGGGGCCCCAGAGGAGGAGCCGCCGCAGCCCCGGGAACCTGGCGCGGGGAGCGAGCCGCCACCCACCTCATTTCGTCTCTTCCCTCGCCAGACCGGGCCCAACTCTCTCCTAGAGCAGCCCTGCCCAGCTCCATGAATGGAAATCGGCCCCGCAGGTGAGTGGGAGCCCCCTCCGGTGCGTGGCCCAGCTCCCCCGCCTCGCGCACTCCCCGTGGGAGGTGTGGGGGAACCCTCCCTCCACCGTGAGCTCTCCGTCCCTCCCGGCAGTCTCCACGGGGTCCCCTGAGGATATGTTTGTGTCACGCTGCTAGCGGTGGGTGCCGCCCATCTCTGTCACTCCTGGGTGAGGTGTGTGGGGAAGAGCCTCGTGGGCCAGCTGTCCACCCTCTGCCCCCTTGTCCGTCCCACCCCGTGGAGTTGAGAGGGTGTGTGCGTGTGAGCGCGCGCGTGCGTGTGTGTGCGTGTGCTGACATCGCTGTGTGTCCGGAACATGTCATCTTTAGGAGATGCTTTACCATTCATTACTTTGTCTTTTGAAGGGGAATGGTTTGTTCACTAGACAAGGCTATGTATGTGTGTGTCCCACAGAGTTGTTTTTAGACTTCCTTAACCACCTCACCGAATTGTCAGGATTTACGAATGTGTTGGAGTAGCTTTAAAAAAGTGTGTAATCTGCTATGGAAATAATGAGGTGATACTTGTTGCTACTACTCTCCTCTTAGTCGTTACCATTGTAAAGTGCTTTAATGTTAACCCTTTAAACAAATCAACCTAGGTCATTGTGTGAATGCCCTGGTGGCCTGGCACAGATGAGGGACCCTTGGGAATATAGAAAGAGATGTCAAGACCGGATAAGCTCATTGAGGACTGGGACGGACCATCTTTCTTTTTGTTTATATTTGTATTCCCGGCGTTTAGCATAGCACCTGACACATAGTAATTGCTTAATTTGTGTGAGTGTGTGAGGGGAAGGGTCTTTTATGCCTGTGGAAACTGGTCTAAAAAAGTAGTGTCAATGATGATTTGTTATCAGATTGTTTTAAATGCAAATATAACATTTCTGGAGATTTTGCTTTGGGGAAAGTTGAAATCTAAGCAACCTTTATTCATCAAAAAGCCCTTTGTGTGGGACATTAAGATGTATGCGTAACTTGATTTGTTTCTAAAATGATCATATTTGGCAAATCTAACTTTAAAAGTGTAGTTTATTCAGACATTTAGAAGTTAATTTTATTTAGATTTAGATAATTATTATCATAAATGGAGCTACAAATCGCTGAGCATTGAACTTAGTCTTTGCCTGTTTTAGACAGGCAAAAACTTGAACAAGAAACCAACGTTATAGTAAAACCAAATTGCTACAATTTTCTGGGCATGGTGCCCACCACAACATCCAGCAAATACAGAAAACATTCTTTTTCTGAAAAGATAATGAGGGGGGGAAAAGCCCTCCATCTCCAAACTCATTGACTACCATTTTTGCCCTGAAGATGCCACTTTCTTACCTTTGCAACATTCGGTAAACGGAAGGTTTTGTTTACGTGGATTTGTGCAAGCTACACTGTCTATTACAAGAATTTTAGCACTAAACTTGAAAATCAGGAGGGACTTGGGTTTTCTGTCTGAGACTATGAAAATTCAGTAAGCATTTTATTAAGTTTGAAGTGATATACCAAGTACTTGTGCGAGGATACTAAGAAAAAATTCTCTTCCCTCAAACACCTTGCTATATCATTTTAAGGTTTGCAGAGCCTTTCACATACATTATCTTATTTGATCTTCACAACAACCTTAGGAAGTAGGTGCTGTGATTGTCCTTATTTTACAATTGAAGAAACTCAGACTCGAAATCAACAAACAGTGAACACCTACAGTGGACAAGGGATTATGGTAGAATAAGAAAATTTAAGGGATTATGCTACAGAATAGGGACAACATCTGCAGTACCTGCACCCATTGTTCTGAAATATAAATAAAATATGTAAAATGCTTTGCAAATTTTAAAGCTCTACATAAATGTCGGTTATTATATCTTGTATATTAAGTTTTCTTGTCCTGGTTTTTAACTGAGCCTAGTAACAATGTATGAGAACCTTACCTTTAATGTTTTATGTCATTCTAAACAAATTTTTTTCACTGATGCTTTAGGTAAAAGAAAATAAAGAAAAGGCTTTTTTTTCCTGAAATTTTCTCTGCATACCCCTTTTCCTTTTTTGATTCTTTACATATCTAGGCTCTTCCATTTTTGATTTTTCTGTTTCCATATAAAGTTACACGAAAGATCAAGTATAATCTGCCTTTTTAAATGAATTCCTCCAAATACTTTCTCCTAATTTAGCCTTTCTGCCCAGAAGTTCAGTTCAATGCAAATTATAATGTGTTCTTGCCATTTGAATAGTTTTACTGCTTTTGTTTTGTACTAATGCTGAAATGCATTCTCATATAAGTGAAAGCAGAGGTAGTTAATTTGTACTTTGTCCATATGCTTGAGCATCTTGAAACAGAGTCATTTTATATGCTTGGTTATAGCTGGTACATAAAGGTATTATAGCCAGGTAACTTAAAAATAACTATAATATTGTTTTAAAATAATCATCTTTGGCTGTTATTAATAAAATCTTGTACTGTTCCTTAAATTTTTGATGATGGGGAATATGACAACTCAATAGCAAGCGTTTATATAGCACTTTAACGTTGCTTAGATGAAAAAGGAATACTGACCCTCAAAAAGGGTCGTAAACAAGAACTTGCGATATGTAGTAGAGAATATATTGTATTAGAATATTTAGATGTTAGAATCCCAGATTTTCAGAGTTGGAACCAGGACCCACAAGACCATTTAGTCCAGTAGTGTCAAACTCAAATAGAAATGGGACCACTCACTACATTGTACAGAAGGATCTCTATGGGCTGTGTATTGACTTAGAAAATCTCATGTTAACATTATTTATATTCAATTGTATTTTTTTATTTTGCTGAATATTTCCCAATTGTATTTTAATCTAGTTCTGGCTGCACTTGGGAGTGTTATGGTCAACCTGCAGGTCCGGTGTTTGAAGCCTCTGTTCTAGTCTAATTCCAGCCTGTGTCTGAAGTAGAATCCTAGCTACAACTTCCCTGACAAGTGGTCACCAAAGTGTTATAATAACCTATTTGGTCACTTTCCTACTTTAGAAGTATAATTTGAGCCCCTAAGTTATGTGCTAATGTTGTTTTTCTGAATTTCTGAAATGCTCCTAAATAAGACTCTTAGGACATAAGGTAATTGTTTTAATTAGTGGTTAGAAAACAAAATCTAATTATAGAATTGTTTTGTATTATATAGCTCTGGAAAGAAAAAAAACTGTATAATTTTATTTGAATTGTTTTGTGAATCATTTCCACAAACTTTAAGCCTCTTGTTTCAGATGAAATATTTTAACTAATATTTAAGAGTGTTTATGGTCTTGACTTCCCTATTTATCACAATTAATTGATACAAGTGAGAACACTGTCCAAATTTAACTTAAAACCATGGTTTAAAAGGCACTAGATAGAGTTGCTGATGTTTCAACTCAAAATTAAAAAATCTATAAGTGCCTTTTCTCCTTCATTCTCCTCCCCTCTAAAAAATAGCAAAATAACCTTTTAAAAGCAAAGATATTAATTGGCCTTGACCATCATCATTACAGTGGTGTGTAAACAAAGCAAAACAGTCACCACAATGAGGAGTGTGAAAGACATCAAAAACTATGTTAGCCAGAAAACATTGAATAAAGAATCCCTTCTTTACTAAGCAAGGAGACACAGTAGCCAATGGAAATGCTACTTTAATTATAAGCTCCTCTATAAAGCATTTCAAGCATGATAAGAGATTATGAGCAGCATTGCCTTGCCTAACAGTGAAAAGAAATTGAGTAGAAAATGACTGCAGACAGGTTGACATTGGAGTTGGGTGAGTCTGGGCATGTGCAACGAATTTGTATATGAAGTAAATCAGGCAGTACATCAGTGATCATTTGTTAAGCACCTGTTAATGTGCCTGGCAGTGTGTGAAGCACTGAGAATACAAATATGAAAGTGAAACAGTTCCTGCTCTCTAATTGGTGACACATCATATATACACTTAAAGATAAATAATAGATAGGAAAGAAGGGAGGCAGGAAGAGAAGGAGAAAGGAAAAAGGGAAGGAAGGAAAGGAGGGAGGAATGACCGAAGGAAAAGTGGAAGGACCCACTGAAGATTTTTGAGAGGGGGATGGTAGTGACATAGTCAGACCTGTGCTTTAGGAAACCAATTTAGCAGCTGTGTAAGAAGATGGATTGAAGGGCAGTTAGGTGGCACAGTGGATAGAGCACCCACCCTGAATTCAGGAGGACCTGAGTTCAAATGCAGCCTCAAACACATGACACTTACTAGCTGTGTGACCCTGGGCAAGTCACTTAACCCCAATTGCCTCACCAAAAAAAAAGAAAAAGAAAAAAGAATGAATAATGGCAGCAAAATACATGACCTTATTTCCACTCATACAGTATTATTTTAGTTCTGGCTCTGATCTCTTACCTGGACTATTGCAGTAGCCTTCTAATTGGTCTCTTTGGCTCAACTCTGCTTCAGTCCATCTTTTTTTTTTTTTTTTTTTGGTGAGGCTATTGGGATTAAGTGACTTTCCCAGAGTCTCACAGCTAGTGAGTGTCATGTGTTTGAGGCCATATTTTAACACAGGTCTTCCTGACTCCAGGGCCGGGCTCTATCCACTGTGCCACCTAGCTGCCCCCATCATTCATCTTTACTGAATTTAGCACCACTATCCCATCAATTTAGATGGTTCTCTCAAACTTGCCCTCAAATCAGTGTTGCTTATTTTTATCAATAAAAAAATGTAGACTTCTTAAAAGAATGGATCTCAACCACAGATTGCTTAAAGAAAAGCCAACAAAGGCAGCAGGCGTATTTGTATGTAGTCTTGCAAAACATAAGATTATATAAGTTAACCAAAGAATTTTGCCCACATGATTTGTATTCAAGTTTTTTTAAAGTCTTAATTTCATAAGCAGTGCTATAGATGTGAGATTTCTGCCCCTAAACTTAGCATATTTTGCCATGTATTGGCTTAGATAGCTGAAATACTCTTATGGTCTTCCATATAGCTTTTGGAAACTTATAATAATAATT